CACGTGCGAAGAGAAGTAGCGCGGGGAGGAGGGGAGGCTGGGGTGAGGGGGAGCTTCTGGAGAGTGGAGCTGCAGGCGCCTGCGCCGCCCGCGGTTGATTGATCTCCCGCGCCAAAAGCCCCGGGATGGATGGTAGAGGCCCTCGTCGAGGCCGTGCCGGAGCCAAGGTCAAGGGCTGGCCAGTCATTTACCAGACGGACAGGAGCCGAGCCCCGGGCTGAGCTCACCACGGCGAATATTAAATGTCCTGCAGTTTGCTGTCGTGCTGTGCTCACGTTCCCGCACTGACTGACAATCGACAGAAAATGACTGGGTCTCTATTTTTAGTTCGCGTGCGCGAGCAAAAGAGGTCTTGCATCAGCGCGCCGGGTCTCCGCATATTGCTCGCGTGGGACTGGGTCGGGATCGGAGCCTGGAAATGGTCTGTGTAGACCCTTGCTCGCTCACACCGAGTCCCGTGCTGTCACGTGTGGCTCAAACCGCTCAAAGTTAAGGATCCAAGGCCGCGCCTGGAGGCGCAAGAAGGCCAAAAATTTACAAACTAGAACTAGACTCCAGAATGGATAGTATTTGATGTGTGAGAATAACTTTGCCAGGGCGCCGGGCGATGGAGTGGAGAGAAGAGGGTGGGGGCAGGTAATTACAACTACAGCCGGGAGCGTCTGCTCCTATCTCCATGATTTATATCGCGAGTGAGGTGGCGTTTTGCCTTCGTGAAAAAATTTGCTCTGCCCAATTTGTCAAATGAGAGTCATTTCTTTTTCACTTCCAAGTCAAAGGTCCGCGCCGCGCGGCATCTGCAAAATTCTTCTCCCACTAATTGATTTTTGTTGTATATCATATCGTTTTCTGTTTGTTTTTTCAGGACTCTGCGAAGTGGAGACGGGCCAGTCCAACATCATCCTGGACGTGGAGGAGAGCCGAGGGACCCGTAAGTACTAAAACGTGCATGTTACAAAACCCACAGCTAAGATACAAAAAAAGAGGGAAGTCCTTCCTCCGTTGTTCCCTAATGGCGCTGCCCGCCTGCCTTACCCGGACCGGACCGGAGGGCACCGGAGGGCCTCTGCGGTTTCGGAAGCACGACGCGACGCGACAGGCCGCAGGGCGCCGTGCGCAGCCGGGATGGGAATAACAGTCTTTCGGTTATGAAATGAGATAAGCGATACAGATGAGAACAAAATGTGATGCACTCAAGAGTGTGTGGCGAAAAAACACTGCAGTAGCCTCAAAACTACAGTACAGATGTCCCCTTATCTTTTGTTCATATTTTGATTTCAAAATATTTTTTAATACCGAGATTTGGGTACACCTGGAGGAATTCGATCTTGAAACAGGTAAATTTTCCTTTAAAAGAACGTTGCAAGAACGATCTTTTTCTCGTGCTGGACACAAGGGCGCGCGCGCTCACACAATCACAGCCCCCCACCCCACACATCGTTGAGCAGCGCTTTAAGACGCCTCGCGATCGCCCCTATGTCGAATCGCCTGAGCGCCCCGGATCACCGCCAAGGCTGTGCGCGCCGCGCGCCCCGCCCCGCCCCGCCCCGCCCCGCGACCGCAGCGCCGCGCGGCCCGCTCCGCCGGCTAATCCTCTCCCCCGGCCCGGATCGCCCTCGCGCCCCCATGCGCCCGTTTGGGCCGTATTAACCACGGTGTGGCGAGTGCGCGCAATCGGCGCGGCGTGGCGTGGCGCGGCGTGGCGTCACAGCCGTATTGCATGCGCTGCCATCGTCTCTGGATATGGCCTTGCGGTCCGGACCGACGTAATCCGACTGATCGTCTTCCTCCCTGTCGAGCCCTGCCATAGAGGTTGGGGCCGACGCCGGCTTGCCTTGTTGCTGATCGATTATCGGCCGTCGGGCGTTTTGCGGAAGTCGAGAAGCGCTAAAAATACAGTTAGCCGTGCAATTAGTTTTCTAACTGTGACTCACCCCTCCTCCTCCCTTTGCTGCAGAGATCAACCAGCTGACTAGCCCGCCGGACCTGCCCGTGGTGGGCGACCCCTTCTCGGACATCGCGCTCGACCTGGTCTTCCCCAAGGGCTCGCCCATGTTCATCCTCAACGGCAAGCGGCTGCAGCTGCTGCACCCGCTGGACCGCGACCAAGCCAACCTCTCGCACATCGTCTTCCAGCTCATCTGCACCGTCAAGTCCACCAAGCGGAAGCGGACCATCCCCGTCATCGTCCGCGTCTCGGACATCAACGACAACCCGCCCAAGTTCCTCAACACGCCCTACGAGACGACCGTGTCCGAGGTAAGTGCGGCGGCCGGTGCCATGTGGTCGTGATGGGCCGCTTTCGCTGCTTCTCAGTTTGGCAGCGGGTCCAGCTCGGTCCAGCTCCAGACCCCCGCCCCGTGCAACGCCTGGCTGCGCACCACTTTCGCGCGCAGTGTCCGCTGGCGCTGGGCTGGCGCTGGGCTGGCGCCTCGCTGACCCCCAGAGCCCAGATGCCAGGCCGGCTGACCCGGGTCGGGATTGGATTTCGGTTTCGGGTGGACCGGGCTGCACTTCGCTTCACTTCTCCTCACTTTCGTTTTGCCCGCCGCGGCCGCGCGCCGCGTGCCCGGCGATATTTCGTAACCACTCGCGGGGTAGGCGTGGGAACGCTGCTCTTGAGGAGAGTGATACAATATTACGTTTTCAAAACGCAGTCGGTTAGAGTAAAAGCACAATACACACACAAGAAAACGGTCATTACTGACCCCTTATTAATTAAAAACTTTTCTTAAATTTAAAATCGCTATCATCTAATGCGGTCGTGATTTGCGCGGAATGTCTGAAGCACTCGTTTGCGGTAACAACCTCCTCGGGCAGAGCAAGGCGGGCGGCCCGGGCAGCCTCCTTTGTGGTCAGCGGGCCCCGCCGGGGAGGGGACCCCTTCGCTAATGAACTTATTTCTTTTTAGTCCCCCTAGTCGCCCTAACGGTGCAAATGCTCGGTCGCGTCGCTGGCGCCGGGGGGCTGGGGGGGGGGGCGGTAACATGGTTTCGATCGTAAACATGACCGATTCTGCGCGAGGGAAGGAGCAACGGTTCTCGTACACGGATAGAGGGAATTCCCCGAGGGAGCCGGCGCGCCGTGCGTCTCTAGAACGCGGGCATACAGCTCAATTATCGTATATGAAACAGGAAGGGTACGAGCCCGTCTCCTCGGCGCGCGTCTCTGTCCTTGTCGCGGCGGCGGGAGCGAGCGAGACGGGCTGCACCCGGGCTGCACTCCACCACCGTATGCACCGCCGCGCATTCCCCGGGCACTCGCCGTGCTGCGTTGCGCGGCCCTTGCGCTGCGCCGCCGCGCCATTTGCCGCCGTTGCGCCGCGCATGCGCAGAGGAACGGCTCAATCCGGCGCTGCGCCGCTTTGCGCTCGCACAGTGCAGATCCAGGCGAGCAGCGCAAAGCGGCGCAAAGCGAGGGAGGAAGAATAGCGAGGAAAGCGCGGCGGCGGCGCGCCCGCGCGCGGAGAAATGGGGCGGGGCGGGGCGGGGCCGCCGGTATCGATTGTAATTCCTGAACAGCAACCTCGCTGCCGACGCTAAATTTCAAGCGATATAGCGCGCGGGCGGTGCGGGCGCGCATGAGGAGGGCGCGCGCGACGCACCGCGCAGCCGGCCTCCGCTCCGCGCTTATACAGGCGAGGCGAGGGAAGAAAGGAACTGTGCTGTGCAGCGCGGGGCGGGGCGGGGTGGGGCGGCTGCCGCAGCAATTGCGGAGTGGGCAAGGTAATAGCACTGCATTAGTATTGTACTTCGTTTCAATTCTGGAGCAGAAGGCTGGGCTTTGTAGCCTAAGCGGAAACATGTGTATGGAGCCCGCGACGGCGGCGGGTTTGCGCGCGGGGGAAGACCCGCCGCAGTCGGGGGTCTTGGCGGCGGGGGAAAGGGTAGTGTTCGGGTGAGGTATCATCCAGAAAGTACGCCGTTGGAAACCTGCCAAGCGTAGCTTCTAATAGCTTTTATAGCGCCTGGTAGGTAGGCAAAATCGTTCATTCAGTGCATTTGTGTACTGCGGGGTGGCCTACCCCGAATCTCGCAGGCGCCAAGCTCCCGTTATTGGTCAAACAAATTTGAGAAAAACAGACTTAATTTCTGGACGGTCGACCTCACTCCGGCAGATCACTAACTCTGTATTGTGTTATTTTCACACAGCTCACGCCCGTCGGGACCACCGTCTTCCAAGGAGTGCAGGCAGTCGATGCGGACTCGGGCGTCAACGGCCTGGTCGAGTACCTGGTGGTGCCCGGTGACCCAGCGGCCGTGGCCGCCACCAACCAGGGGCAGCCGCGGGTGCACGTCGCCGACGGCTACGGCTACTTCTCCATCAACCTCCCCCACCAGGGGCAGGTGACCGTCAACCGCTCGCTGGACTACGAGCGCACGCAGCGCTACTTCGTCACCATCGTGGCCACGGTGAGTTGAACGGCCGACGACGTGGATGTCGGTCGCCATCCGGGTGTGCCTCCCGCCCCGCGGCCGCTTGACGTGCTTTGTCTGCCGCAGGACCGCGCGCGCAACTCGACAGAGAGGTTGTCCAGCAGCGCCACCCTCACGGTGAACGTGCGCGACGACGACGACCAGGACCCCAGCTTCATCTACCAGGGCTGCATGCTGCTGGACGGCGCGTGCATCAACCCGGAGTACACGGCGTCGGTGCAGAGCGGCAAGCTGGCCGGCATCCTGCACGTCTCGCCGGAGAAGATCCAGGCCGTGGACATGGACTCGATCAACTCGCCCATCGTCTACTCGTTCCTCAGCGGCTCGCCCGCCTCCTTCCGGGACTACTTCGAGATCAACCCGCAGACAGGAGCCGTGCGACAGACGCAGCCCGTGGACACCTCCGTCACCAAGAAGTTCCAGCTCATTATCAAGGTAAGGCTCAGCTGAGTGACGCCGACGACGCACGCCAACCGACGTGGCGTCACCTTCGCCGTCCAGAGCGAGGCTCACGTTCTTGTTTCTCTCGCCGCAGGCCGCCGAGGTGTCAGAAGCCAAGAGGTTCGCGACAGCCAAGCTGGAGATCACCGTCAAGCCCGTGGACGTGAACCCGCCCGAGATTATCGCCACGGCAACCGAGGGCTACGTGGAGGAAAACTCACCCGTGGGCACGCAGATCCTGGACGTCAACGGCAAGCCCATCTCCTTCACCGTCACTGATGCCGACTTGGTAAGCACTGTTCCAGGCAACTGTGTAGGCGAATAGCACGCACACCTTCAAGCAGTGCTGAGCTGCCAAACTACTGGTGGGCCGAATCAGTCAGTCAGTATAGAATGTTGCTGAATCGCATTTACCGCTTGCTGGTTTGAATGAGAGCGCAACAGAGGCGCACATAAATTGAGCCTAATTTTTCTCGCCCTAGGGACCGGAGGACCCCAAACCGACTTACACTTTCGAGATGACGACCAACTTTTTCCGCATCGAGAACGGGGTGCTGACGGTCAACGAAGAGAACCTGGACCGGGACCCGCCAAGCCCCGGCAAGTTTCGCTTTCAGGTTGTGGCCCGAGAGAAGAATGGCAACGCGGCCAGCGCGCCACTCTCGCTCACCGTCACCCTCGAGGACATCAACGACAACGCGCCGCGGCTGCCCATGGTGCCGCCCGTGTCCGTGCAGGCCGGCGACGGCAAGCGCGAGGTGATCCGCGTCGAGGCCACGGACAACGACGAAGGCGAGAACGCCGTGGTCACCTACAGCATCTACCACGTGTCCAACAACGGCCGCCTCAAGTTCACTATCGACCCGGAGACGGGGCTGCTCGAGACGACCGGGAAGCTGAACGCGGGCGAGCAGTACAGCATCACGGTGCAAGCCACGGACACGGGCGGCCGCTCCAGTCAGACCATCGTGGAGGTGAAGGTGATCCCCGGGCCCAACACGCGCAGCCCCGTGTTCCAGCAGTCCACCTACGAGGTGCAGGTGAGCGAGGGCGTCGCCATCAACACCACGGTGGCCACCATCACGGCCAAGGACCCCGAGGACGACCCCGTGTCGTACTCCATCGTCAGCGGCAACGACCTGCGCCAGTTCGCCATCGGGGACAAGACCGGCGTTGTCACCATCATCCGCAAGCTAGACCGCGAGGACCTCACGCGCTACCAGCTGGTGAGTCACTGACAGAGTCGCGCGGCACAGCCGAGTGTCGGCTGGTGCCCGGAGGCTTCTCATAGCTTGGTGCTAATCTCTTCTTCTGTCTACGCAGCTCATCAAGGCCGAGGATACCGGTGGGCTGTCGAGCACAGCTACGGTCAACATCAAGGTGACAGACATCAACGACAAGAACCCCGAGTTCGACGGGCTCCCCTACGTGTTCCGCGTGCGCGAGGGCGATGCCAACCAGACGATAGGCTCTGTACACGCCAGTGACGCCGACGAGGGTCAGAACGCCGTCGTGTACTACTCCGTCCCCGAGGACGTACCCTTCGCCGTTGACGCTATGACAGGAGAGGTGCGCACCAAGTCGGCGCTCGACTACGAAAAGCAGAAGGTAATACCCGTTCTTTCACTTTCGTGTTCTTATCCTTTCTTACCCATCGTCTAATCTCTCTACCCTCCTTACTTGGCAGGAATTTCGGTTCGTGGTGACTGCCCGTGACGGGGCACCAGACCCACGCCTCGCTACCGCCACTGTGACCGTCGAGGTCATGGACGTGGAAGACGAGCTCCCCGTGTTCAAGGAGCACACGTACGACGTCCACGTGCCGGAGAATGTGCCGGACCACGTGGTCACCCAGGTGCACGCCGATGACCCGGACACGGTGCAGCGCGTCACCTACACCATCCGACAGGGGCCCACCGATCTGTTCGCCATCGACCCCAAGACGGGCGTCATTCGCACGCTGCGTGGCCTGGACTTTGAGCGCGAGAGCCAATACATTCTCGTGGTGGGCACGCTCGAGAACCCCGGCAGCGGGGCGGGGGCCACGACCAGGGTGGTGGTGAACGTGGACGACCGCAACGACATCCCGCCCGTGTTCACCACCGTGGCGCGACCCGTGTCCCTCGAGGATGACGTGGGCATCGGCACGAGGGTCACCACGCTCACCGCCACGGACTCGGACGGCACGGCGCCGGGCAACAAGGTGCGCTACGAGCTCATCGGCCGCGGCAAGGCCAACAAGTACTTCACCGTGGACCCCGACACCGGCGTGCTCAGCGTGCGGGACGACCTCCGCAAGGAGACGGACCAGTCCTACCAGGTGGACATCAAGGCGTACGATCTGGGCGAGCCTCAGCTGTCCTCCGTCATGTCGGTGCCAGTGTTCATCAAACACTCGGCTACCGTGGCGCCGGAAACCGGCCTGGGCTTCGCCGACGACCTGTACACCGTGGATGTGCCTGAGAACGCCACGGCGGGGGCTCTGCTCAAGACCCTCACCATCGTCAACAGCAAGGCGCACCGCACCGCACCCGCGCCGCTGCACTGCAGTATCGTCAACGGCAACGAAGGAGGTAAGCTCGCGCACCGTCGCGCACGCTGGCTGGCGCCGTGCTGCTCAGGCGCCGTGCCGCCCTCTGCTCCTGCTCCTGCACGGCTTCGCTAACCTCTAATCTCATTCCCAGGGCTATTCTTCGCGAACGTGACGGAGAACCGCAACTGTGAGCTGCGCGTGGCCTTGACGGGCGTGCTGGACGCGGAGCAGCGCTCGCAGTACCAGCTCACGGTGCAGCTGGACACGCTGCCCGGTCTCGTGAATCCGGCCAGGGCCACGACGCGCGTCAAGGTGCACGTCGAGGACCTGAACGACAACGTGCCGCGCTTCGTGTTCCCGGCCAGCGGGCTGATGCAGGGTCAGGCGCTGGGCCGCTACTTCGGCGCCGTGCCCCAGGACGCGCAGATCGGCACCTCGGTGCTGCAGGTGAAGGCTGAAGACGCAGACGGCGGCCGCTTCGGGAGGGTGAAGTACGCCCTGGTGGACTCAGAGGAGGATGCAGACGACAACGACGTTGCGACAGACAGGGACAGCGACAACGACTATTTCTCCTTGGACACAGACACCGGCGTGCTCAAGACCAAACGCTCTCTGGAAGAGGTCCCGCCCCAACGGCTGCCGTTCCGGCTGACAGTGGAGGCCCGTGACAACGCCGGCGCCAGCGAGGGGGCCAACACGGTGCACGCGCAGGTCATCGTCAACATCGTCACGCCCAACAACCTCCTCGTGCTGGTGCTCCAGGACGTGCGGCCGGAGCGCGTGCAGGTGAGTGTCCCAGACACCCGAGGCCCCGCGCGGCTACCGGTGCAGCTCCAGCGCTAGCTCACACGGCCTTGTTTGTCGTATTGTCCAGGGCGAGGCGCAGCGCCTGGTGGCCATCCTCGAGCAGCACTCCGGCCTGGTCGTGGGCGTGGAGCGGCTCACCGCCCGCCACTTCCTCGCCGACAACGCCACGCTGCAGACCGACGGCGCCGGCACCGACGTGTGGTTCTACGCCGTGGACCCAGAGACGGGTCGCATCCTGGAGCGCAACAGCACGCGCGTTCAGCGCTCCGTGCTGGACAAGCAAGTCGTGTCCAACATCACGCTGGACGTGTCTGCGAACCTCCAAGCCACGGCCACGGCCATTCATGAGCCCTACGTCGTGGCGAGGCACAAGACGGCCGTCGCCGTGTCCTGGGAGGTGTTCCCGTACGCTTTAATCGTCATCGCCTGCGTCATCCTCGTCCTAGGCGTCGTTGGCATCATCTATATCTGCGTATCCTGGTCTCGGTAGGTCCGCGAGTCTAACTGAGGAGGTGGGAGGGGGCTCAATTGGCTTCATACCTGATTTTACGCGCTTTGAGTCCAATTGTGCGAACGAGTTATCCATTCATGACTTACTGTGGGGCCTTAAGGCCCTTAGGGCATAGGCAACCTGCTGCACGCCTGAATGCGGGCTAGCACCGTTTGTCAGTGGTTTACGCTAGTGTCCCACTCTAGTTTACGCCACCGTACTGTGGCGGATTTGGCGCCATACAGATTAAGCGAGTAGGCAAACCAGCATACTGCTGTGCCCTGACACGGTAATATATACCAGTACGATCCGACGGGGCCGAAAGCCAAACACAGCTAGGGTACGCAAGCTTTCTTTGCCTGCCTGTCGGTGCAGTACAATGGTCCTACGGAAATATGTATTATGTCAAGTCAGCAAGACTACAAAGTGGTGAAATTCAAATGATGTAATTCTGTGTTTACAGGTATAAGGCTTACAAAGAGAGAATGCAGAGAATGTATGTGGTCCCCCGATACGATCCAGTTTTTGTCGAGCCCAACCTTAAGGAGTATGAGACTCAGGTATGCTAGTACTACTTCTGAGTTCAACGATTTGTAAGCTGTGAGTGAATTTTATTAATCTGCTTACATGGTCTACAGGTTCTCCAGATGAGTGTTCCTCTTGACGATAATGACAGTTACAATGATCTTCAACTAGATTTTAGCCAAAAGAATCATGCATTTAGTATGGATAATGTTAGTTACATCACAAAAGAAAACAATACTGGTAGCATAGGTAAGCTGGAGCCTTCATGTTGATCAATCACCTATGACGTCATTAACCCTGAGCCCTGAAAAATATTGTGTCTCATATTCCTATCTTACAGGTCAACAGAGCCCTGTAAGCTCCGATGCAGCAACGACTGCAAGAGCATCTAGTATAGCTGGTGGAGTGGACACCATGAGGAGGAGGGAGATTAAGCCAAACAACCTAACTGGTCATGATCCACCAACTAGCAACCCTCTGTATGACAGGTAAACTATCTGCATTTCAATAATTCAAACCAAATTAAAACAACCCTACAAGTCCAACAAGCAATTGACACACAATTTTTTTTACAGATCGCATGAGGATAATAATGTAGGACATCTCAATGCAAGTGCAACTAATGAAAATGTTCTGTTCTGTGAGAAAAAAGACTATTCACATCTTGGGGGGTTTGCATATATTAATGACCGTAATAGTATTGAAACTACCACTGAGCTTTAGTGACTTGAAACCTGGTGCCAATAGGAAGCAAATGTTTCTTATTTAAAAGACTTCTTGATATTAATCAAAATGTTTGCTACAATCTGGATATAAGGAGAAGTCTCCTCTTAGTCATTTTATGTGTATAAACTGAACTAATTAATAGTGTTGTGTTTAGGGTTGATGTAGTATTATATAGTAATCTGTATAGTACAGGTAAATAGGAGGTTATGCAATTATACAAAGTGCCAAGGCCAATCTGCAAACATATGACAAAAATGGTAAGGGAGTCAATACTTTTGTTGTAGGGAATCTATGTTGTGAGCAATATGTCTAATAATTTGTTTGTGCTGAGTGTAATTTATTATATGCTGCTAATTTTCTGTCACACTGGTTTGTTAGGCTGCTGTTGGGAGCTTTTAAACTTTTTTGGACAATATAATGAATGAGTGAGTAAAAAGATAATCCTACTGGATAATAAAACTGCTATTATTCACACGTTTAATGTAAGCAAATTGATGAAGCCAAATGAACATTATGTGTACTTAATAATTATGACAAGATGTATCTGTACAAAAATGTCATGATGCTAATATATGTGATATAATTTGAAGTCGTGCCTTTGCCATGGCCAACAGCCAAATGGGTTACTGCTTTAATATTTAAAAAATATATATATATAGCCCTTTCTAAAATGTACAAGAAACAAGAAATTAATATTTGAATTAGAGAAAGCGTTGTATCTCTGAGAAAATGCTCAACCTCTTGTATAAATGTAATACAAACAACTGTTTGTGGTTTTACTACTCAAACTCAAAAGGCACTTTAAACCCTATCCAAAATCTTAGAAACTAAAGTACTTTTGTCATGCTCAAATGTTATGTAAATATGAAAGGAAGTAATTTATAAGTCCATACTTTATGTACTTGAATCAATAATTACTATCTGTAAAAATGTAAGTTTACGGTGATGTCAATCTTAAAAGATAAAATGGTGTACATAATTCTAGAACTGTTATAAATGTGTAATTATTATTCCAAATTTATGTAAATATCCATAGAAACAATGAATTTATTTACTATTTAATGCCTTATTGCTTAGTTGTAGATTTTTTTACCATTATGATAGATAAATGACATTTTGTTAAAACACTCTGTTGTTATTTTTAATAAAAATGAAATCATGAAAGACTTTTGAATCTTTCTTGTAAGGAAATGTCCAGAATAGGGGGG